ATCCACCTTATAGTCCATTCATCCAATCCATACTTTAATTTTCTGGCAAGAATACTGTGGGAGACTGTATCAAAAGATGCCCTCTTCCCAAGTGCTTGGGTCTCTTTCTGTATACGTAGGGAGTGGGTGCTTCTGTAGCATGTCCCCCTGCCCTTTAACTTGCCCTGGTGGAACGAGTATTCCACCTGTGTCACACCGTGTCTTAGTAAGCGTGTCATCCGGTGGTCCCATCTTTTTCCCTCAGGCTCTGTGCTAAATGCATTCAATTTACAGATTCAGAGCAGGCTCTTCTAACTGCCAGCCCTGCAAATTCCACCTGGCATCCGGGAGTCAAAGTGGGTACTGATTGCTTTGTGCGTTAGCTGCAATAAAAGTTCCATAGGCTGAGTTCTGCACTCAGAGACTCCTGGGCAACCTTCTAGAGCGTGTGTAGGTGTGATGCTGGAACTCCACAAAAAATTGTGTTGATGCACAAGAAGGAATAGATTCCCCCCCTCCTTCCCCCAATTGCTCTGTTGGCTCTGTGGAGCAATAGGAAGTAAAAAGCAGTAAATACTTTTATTTTGTCACTCAAATCAGATTTGATTCTGATGCACACACGGAGCAGATATCTGAGGATAGAGGATGCCATTTTACATTAGGCCTTTCTATGAACTGCATCACACCTGGGAAAACATGCCTGGAGGTCAGGGCAAAGCTCAGGCTTGAGGTGCCAAAGTTCCTTTAGTACAGACAGTCTGATTCCATTCCATTGGCTCCCCAGATTCCCTGTGTTAAGGAGACTCTCTGTTTCTTATCTGGTGAGTATTGGGAGATGCTTGGGTACTCGGATCAAAGCCAGACCCTCACATCCTCAGCCGTGAAGACAGATGCAATTAATTCATTTGGTTTCTCCAAAATGGGCTTATCGTCCTTGAGTGCTCTTTTAGGATTTTGATCGTCCAGTGGCTCCACTGGTTGTTAGCAGGCTTCCTGCTTCTGATGTACTTAATTTTGTTTGCTGTTACTTTTTGAGTCTTTGGCAAGCTGTTCTTCAAATTCTTTTTTGGCCTTCCTAATTATATTTTTACACTTCGTTGATCAGAGTTTATGCTCCTTTCTATTTTCCTCACTAGGATTTAACTTCCACTTTTTAAAGGATGCCTTTTTGCCTCTCATGTGTGCGGCTGGTTTTTATGGTGGGTTTTTTTTTTTTAAACTTCACTGTTTAGCCATGGTGGCACTTTTTTGGTTCTCTTACTATGTTTTTTAATTTGGGGGTATACATTTAGGTTGAGCCTCTATTATGGTGTCTTTCAAAAGTTTCCATGCAGCTTGCAGGAATTTCACTTTTGGCACTGTACCTTTTTAATTTCTGTTTTTAACTGACCTCCTCATGTTCGTGTTTTGTGTTGATTCTCAAATCTGCCTCTCTGCTGCTGAGCTCTCTCCCTCCATCCAGTCCAGTATCTCACAGCTTGTTCACACTTGCAGCGCTGAAGCAATTAGTGAAAACACTACCTATACCAGGGCTGGGCAAACTTTTTGGGCCAAGGGCCACATCTGGGTGGGGAAATCGTATGCAGGACCAGGGCAAGGGGTTGAGGTGCGGGAAGGTGTGGGAGGGGGTGCGGTGTGCAGGAACGGGCTCAGGGCAAGGGATTGGGGCAGAGGAGGGGTGCAGGGTATATGAGGGGGCTTAGGGAAGGGGGCTGGGGTGCAGAGTGCAGGAGGGGGCTCAGGGCAGGGGCGCAGGAGGTGTGCAGACTGCAGGAGGGAGCTCAGGGTAGGGGGTTGGGGTGCAGGGGGAGTGCGGCAGGGGGCTCAGGGCAGGGGGTTGGGGTGCACGGGGGTTGGGGTGCAGGCAGGGGGCTCAGGGCAGGGAGTTGGGGTACGAGGTGCAGGCAGGGGGCTTAGGGCAGGGAGTTGGGGGTTCCGGGTGCAGGCTCTGGCCCGGCGCAGCTTACCTAAAGCGGCTCTGGGGTGGCAGCGGCACGCACCGGGGCCAGGGCAGGCTCCCTGCCTGCCTGCCCTGGCCCCACGCCGCTCCGGGAAGGGGCCCTCACCACGTCCCTGCGTGGCCCCTGGGGAAGGGGGGGGCACAGGGCTCCGCGCGCTGCCCTTGCCGTGCCTCCAGGGACCGCCCCGAAGCTCCCATTGGCCACGGTTCCCTGTTCCCGGCCAATGGGAGCTTCAGGGGACGGTGCCTAGAGGGGCCCCAGGGACATGGTGCCAGCCGCTTCTGAGAGCGGCGTGGGGCCTGCGGCACCAAGGGGGGCAATCCCACGGGCCGGATCCAAAGCCCGGACGGGCGGATCAGGCCCGCGGGCTGTAGTTTGCCCACCCCTGACCTACGCTGATGGAAGAGCTTCTCCTGTCAGCAGCTCCCCGAGAAGCTCTCCTGTCGATACAGAGCTGTCTGCACCGGGGCTAGGTCAGTAGAATGACGTTGTTCTACTGAGTACGTAGGCCAAGCCTCAGCTGGCCTTCCTGATGCCTCTTTGGGTGCTCAGTCATCACCTTGAGGCTCCATCTCCTCTTGCTGCTTTCTCAGCACTGTGGGCAAACTACTGTCCTCCCAGCGGTGCAGGCCAGTAAGCTGGGTGTCAGCTGTGATGAGTCCTTCTCTCTAGACCTGCACTTTCAAACTACTTCTAAGTCTTGCCACTTCTTTATACGACATCTCTGAAATTCAGCCTTTCCTCTCTGCCCACATAGCCAGATGCCTGTCGAGGCCTCAGCGTGTCCCACGGTGGCTGCTGCACTCCTGCTCCCCTCAGGTCTCGACGCACTGTTGGTGCTGAAATCTCCACCTTGGCTTGTTGCTTGGACCCTGTCGGCCCCCTCTGCTGCCGCCCATTTACCCGTACAAGCTTCTTGCCTTCACCTTTCTTAAGGCCCCATCGCTTGACCCCATCCTTGTAACTTATAACGTCATGGATCCCTACCTTCCTTCTGCCAGTGTTCCCAGGCTTCATTGCCCACCAGTCAGCTTCTCTCTTACCCACCTCTGGGCTGTTTCCCATTGTCCTGTGTGGTTGGAAGGGTGGGGGGAGTCTCCCAGGTAAAATCCAAGCAGCCTTTATCACAACCTTCTCAGGTTGCTCCAGACTCACCCTTGCCCTGATGGTGATCAAAGCTAGGCAGGTGACAAGCTGCGACTACTCCTCTCCCCTGTCTTTCTGCACTCCCTTCCTCCCCTGAAATACTACCCCTCTGACCAGATGCCTTGTTCACCAGGTTCTTTTGCTTGCTCACATCCTCAATTCTGCCCCCTCCCGTCCTCTTCTCTTGCTGTGCCTTTATGTTGTGAGCCTTCAGGGCAGAGATTGTCTGTCTGTGTTTGGACAGCACCCAGCACAACGGGGCCCCGATCCTGATGGCCTTTGGGTGCTACTGAAACATAGATATTTATTTAGAGGCAAAAACCAAAGACAAACAAACAAAACCTGTTCAAAGCTATTTAGGTTACTACATCGAGCACTCAAAAGTTAGGAAACACCTGATTTACAGTTGTCCACATAACCTTAATTTCATTCTCTTGTGCATCCATCCTCACTCAAAAAGGCAGGATCCCGTGGAAGAAAAAATAGCATGTAATCATGGAACTGAAGACTGTAGCATAGTGGATATGCACAAGGGTGCGAAACTAAGGTTGCTTGGGCAACAGTAAATCTTGCATTTCCTAATTTTTGAAGTGCTTTACTCTGTAACCTAAAAGTTCTTTAAATGCACTTTTTTATGTAACTTTGTGTGTGTGTGCATGTGTGGTTTTTTGTTTTTTTGTTTTAAAGTTGGAGAGGAAAAAAATAAAAGCAAATTTATATAGATACAACTAGAACAGTCTCTCTTGATGCCTCATGAGTGGGCTTTGAACCTTGGGCCTTCTGCAGTCCAGACTTCTATCACCTGAATTACTGGACTAGCTATATTAGCTGGCAGCAGGAGAAGGCTGTTTTGTCTCGGAGGTGTGGACTGCTGGCTCTGGGGTGGTGTAGGAGGATGGGGGCTCTCTCCCCACCCCTGTAAATTGGGGGAGCACCGGCTGTATGTGGTGTCCCCAAGGGAGGGAGAAATGGGTCACTGGGACCATATGCTGAATCTAGGCAGCTCTGCTCTCTTTTCCCTGCCCTCCACATGCATGTTCCCCACCCCCACATCACCAACTGTTAATTTTACAGCTGCTCTTGCAGCTCCAGGCCCTCTCAGCACAATGTCTGCTGTCACCGTGGCATTGTGAGTTGGGTGTTGTCATCCGTTATCTAGGAAGGCTGCCAACACTTCCCTGAGGACTGCGGGAAGGGGAATGGAGACTGAATGATTTATAACTCAGGAAATGCTGAACTGAAATTTAAGGAAGAAAGAAAAAGGCATTTGTGTCATGGAAGGAATTTCCACTGCTAAATATCAAAGGCTTTCTGCAAACAGGTGTGAGAACGTCGCAAACAGAGTCAGAAAAATACCTTAGAATGGGACCGTTTAGGGAATTTAAATATAGAGATTGCTGGAACTAACTCGCTCCACCTAGCATCATGGTGGGTGGATCAACTAGAAGCCCATCTGTGTCTCTTTCACCTGTGTAACTTATGTGATGCAATCCCACCAGTATCCTGCCTCTGCAGCCCCAGGGGTGTGATGAAAGAAGTGGTGCACCAGTCAGCTGAGGGTTTCTGGCAATGGGGTGGAAGCTAGTTTCACACCCACTTAAGGTGGAGCCAGTCCCTGTTCAGGCCACACTCCCCTGGACCTCTACATATGGGACGTGGAGTTCTTTCACCTTGCAGCTTGTGGGTCAGGGTTGTGGACGGGATCCTGCCCAGGTGTCCATAGAGTCTCCTTGCTCCTTGGTGGTGGAGAAAGGGGTCAGGCTTGTCCCCAGCTCTTCCATGGCAGAGCAGTGACTAGCGCAGGCTATGACTGCTATCCCTGACCCTAGTGCTAATGATGTGACTCCTGCAGCAGGGCCCCAGGGGCCAAAGAGGGCATTCCCTCTTCCTTTAAATGCCTTGTCTCTCTCTTAGGTATCGGGGGCTAACGCTTGTGCTGACGTTCCTGTTTTATACCAGTTTCCATCTCTCTCGCAAACCCATTAGCATTGTGAAGGTAAGTGCTGTACCTGGAGTGTAACTCGTAGAGTGGCCCAGTGCTCATGAGATGAGATTTCTGCTTCTGTAATTAGTCCTATTCTGGCCAGCTCCCCAACCCTCTGTTAATGCACGAATCTGATGGTTTTGCAGAGCCTTCCCCTGCCAGTACATGCATCCTGCCAATGGTCCCGGCGCACTAGTGTCTCTTCCTAGTGCACTTTACTAAGAGATGTTTGGGCAAGGGTCAGGGAGAAGAGTTCTCCAGACTTTCTCTTTGGGCGGCTTTTCAGCTCCTCAGTCACCCTGGCAAGGCTTTTCCCTTGAGGAGGATCTGTGTCATGAAGGTTCGAACCTTCACGCAGAGGTGTTAAATACTATTCCTGGTGCCTGAAACGTGGCCAAGCAGCATCAGGGAGACTTCAGTCAAGACATCCTAGGCACCAAGGGTGCTTAAAAGGCACTAGCTGGTGGGGGCGGGGTAGCCCGAGGGCATGGAGAAGCAGAGAGCACATGGGCCGGGGGTCTGGGAATGTCTGGGAGGTGCTGGGTTGGGGACAGGCTGTGGGGTGAGTGTGTGCAGGAGGGAAACGAGAAGCAGGAGCTGCCTCTTGTTCTTGCCTGAAGATGATGCCTTTTGAAGGAGACCTGGGCTCTTCAGCATTTTCTTTCCTTGTTCGGTCCACAGAGTGAGCTGCACAGCAACTGCTCTTCTCCCCGCAATGACACCAATAGCACCGTGTGGTGTGACTGGGCTCCCTTTGGTAAGAGCTTCCTGACTGAGTGCCGTGTGCCTCCTGCCCAGCTCCTCTGGATGGCTGCGCTCCGAGATGCAAAGAGCTCGGGAGTGCGTGGCTCCCTTCCCTCGCATGCCACGGGGCAGCCAGGAGAGCTTCACCTCTGAGCTCAGCATCCAGAGCTAGCCACAGGTCACTTGGCCCAAGGTCTCCAGGAGGGTGTTTGGGTGGGAGGCTCTAATGGCTGGGCAGAACTTACAGTGACTGCTCAGACTGCCTGGCTGGGACCCCTCATTATCTCCCCCTAGCCCATCCATGTCCCTCTGCCACACTCCCCATGCTGCTGTTGCAACCCTGGCTTTGTAGGAGTGCTGCTTGGGTAGACCTTGGGGCCAGCAATTTCCAGTGCCTCTGCATTGCCTGTTGGGGCCCCAGCCGCTTCTCCAAGAGCAAGCCATGACTGAGCCTGCGTGCCTCTGCCCCACACTGTGACCCCAGGAAGTCCGATCAATATTAAGAATTGGCAGTGCTCTGGCAAATAGACTTGTAACATGGTTAATGACCTTACTCAGGAGCCTTAATGTGTTTACACAACGCACTTATGAGTCTCATTAGCGTGTTAGCTGAGGGTCGGTTCCCAGAGTACCTGGGTTTGGCAGTTGCTAATCGGAGCCAATTGGAGGCCATTAACCAGCTGAGCAGTGCCCAGTGTGCTTTTTGCCTCATGTCCCAGGTACAAAGGGCAGATGCCTAGTGGAAAACAGGCATGAAACAGAAGCCACCAGAGCTGGTCTCATAGTGGGGTGTCCTGGCATTCAGAGAAGGTGTCATTTCTGAAAGCAGTGGGGTTCCTCGATCTTTTCAGGCAGGCGACCCTTGCTCAAAGTAATGTTTTTGAAACTCTCTTACATTTACTGTAAAAGAGAGTAAAAAGCATCGCCATGTGTACAGCAGCAAGCCAACGGGATGGAGTGGTCGGTGCATGCTGCAAGGTTGACAGAGAACACTTCCCCGTGAAGGGTCAGGATGTGCGGGAGTGAGAGCCTCTGTGCTTTAGATTGTAAGAACATAGTCAATGTCTCATTCCTTTCATGTCGCACTGGTTGAGAATCACTGGCCTGGAGGAATGAACTAAGGAGGCAAAGTCCCGACTTTGAATCCCAGCTCCGCTGCATTGTCCCACCCCCTCTTTGTACCTTCAGTCCCCTTTGGTAGATGGGGATAATTATACTTCGTTTTTGGGGGGGTGGGGTGAAGAGCAGTGAGTTAATGTTTAAATACACAAGGTTCCGCTCCACTCTTAAAAATCTGATCCCTGAAGCAGTGAGTGAGGCACTCAGCAATTCAGCTCTGAGGGTCTCTGGGAGCACAAAGCAGGAACCTGCATTGGGGTGGGAGTGGGAGAGAGCAGGATCCCCTGTGGATGTGAATGAGATGCAGGGCTTCTCTAAAATATAGGCTTAAACCCAGAAAATATAGCTTGCAGCAAGCCCACCTTCCAGGTCTTGAAGCATCCCCGCAGTGCTGGGGTGGGGAGAGTGGGCAGAGACTGCAGTTGGGAGTCCTGCTATTCCAGCCTGTTGCTCTTTAACACGCTGATTTCTGCCTGCATTGTCACCTGTTTTCTAGATCAGGCTAACTACAAAGAGCTCTTTGGTGCCCTGGACAATGCCTTCTTGGTTGCCTATGCCATTGGAATGTTTATCAGGTATGGACTTCTGAGCACCACCAGCATGTGGGGAGGAGACGGTTACATCTCAGATCCTCCCCCAGATGCCTCATTGCTTCCTGTTGGGGTCACCTCCATTCCACATGCCCCATGAGAGCTTTCCGACTGTATAGCTGCCAACGGGTGTACTGGCTCTTGCATCGGGGTGGTATTTTTGCCTGGCTCAATGACTGTGGTGTTGTGGACGAAAGCTGGGCCAGACATTCTGATGCTGGCTCCCTACATGCCCCTGGGAGCCTCAAAAGCACAGGACATGTAGCATAGCCAAAGGCTGCTACCTTGCACCCCAGAAGTGGCTGCATGTCAGTGGTGCATGAGGCTGTTGTAAGCCGTTCTGGGATGTGCTGGGTGAATGGTGCTGTATGATGCCAACGACTGGCCGTTAAGAAATGGAACATCCCTTGGGGAGCTAGACCCTGGCAGAAAGCTGCAGCATCAGTGCTCTTCGGTCATGTCTCATGTCAAGCAAGAGGAAGGGAAGACGAACTTTGAACTGGCCTCCCGGCACTGAGACTAAATTGATTTCCCTTGCCTGCTTCAGTCCAGTGATTCCAAGGTCCCCAGCTGACTGGTCTATATAGACATTTCCCTTTCCCTTAGGCTCTGGTTATTGCTTGGAATGGGTGTAGGTGTGGAATGGGTGTGGCCCTAGCTTGGAATTCCAGCCACTTTGTTCTGTTCCTAGAATGCAGACTCTCCCCTCCATTGGAGCTTGCTGTTGGGTTATGATGATGATTTTGAGTGGCGTTTACCCTTCCCCTGCCCCAGAAAATAACCCTGTGGGGTTAAGAAATGACTTACGCTCCAGCTTGGTAAAGCATCCATTACTGGTGCTACAGGCTGTGGGCACTTTAGCAGGTTTCTTATCAGTTTGCTGTTTGTGACGGCAATTGCAGGGGGTTCTATCTGAAATGTGTCCAGCCTGTTTGAGAGGTCAGGTTGGTTTCTGTGTTGATCTGACCTGAGTGGGATGGCGGGGTGGTCTCCGGTTTGGGTGCAGCTGGGAGGAGACCATGTACTAGGTCTGTCCTGGGGACGCTGCATTGGGTTGGTGACTTATGGCAGCTGGCCTCAGCCAAGATGGCACATAAATGGTAACATGGCCCAATGCCTGTGAGATATGACTTCAGCCATTCACACCGAGACAACCAGAGCCATTGAGAGGGGATGGGGACTCAAAGAGCAGAATATTAGGAAGGTGCCATGGTGAGGAGATAGAAGGCCCCATCTAAGGCTCATTCTGCTCACGGGTGAGAGGATCAGGATGGCATTTTTGGTTTGGTTCTGAGTTTTGTTCCTGCTTGGGAGGAAAGTAGCTCTGTGTCCCTGGAGTTCAGACATCCCCTTCAGCCCTGCTGCATGCAGAGATGGGCCTCGCATTTCACAGAGCTGGGAAGGCTGTAGCCTTCCATAAGCATGTCCCAGCCCCTGGTTCCCAGAGGTAAGGCACCAGCCCTTGTATAAAGTATTGCTGAGCTGGCAGAATGCATGTGGGTGGCTGTTAATGCTCTTTCCCCTCCTTCCCCTCCTCTGTGCAGCGGCATCTTTGGTGAGCGCCTTCCACTGCGCTATTACCTGTCGGGAGGGATGGTGCTGAGTGGAGTGTTCACTTCCTTGTTCGGCTTGGCCTACTTCTGGAAAATCCACGTTCTCTGGTACTACGTCATCATCCAGGTAAGGAGTCCCTGGCCTTCATCTACCGTCTGTTCTGAAATGCTTCGCTGACCACAACATTGGGTGCCATCTATTGGCTGGATTTTCACTCTCTGGAAATCCTTTGTGCAGAGCAGGGAGTTCAGTACCTCTGAAGAGGCAATCAGCAAGCCAAGAGTTTCTTTGGAACTCCTCTCTGCAGGTACATGGTGCTTCTCAGCCACTTGGAATCTTTAAACCATATCAGACTTCCCGCTAAAAGCGATGCGCTAACTCAGCCACAAGTGACGGGGCTCAGTGCAGGAATTACTGGAGGGAAGCTCTGGCCTGCATTGTGTAAGAGGGCAGAATAGTTTATCATAATGGCCTTAAATCTGTGCATTGGCAAAGCTGTAATTAAATGTCCTGGTTTAATGGGAGCAGCCTAATGTGTGATCATTACAAAAGGCTGAGTTTCCCGAGGGGAATCCTCAGCATCCTTTGAGTGTGAGTTTCTCAGTAACTTCGGGAGTTTCTCTTTGTCCTGCCTGATGGTTTCTTTTCAGTACTTACTTCTGCAGCCTTTGATGTGATCATAGAACCATAGAACTGGTAGGAACCTTGAGGTCATCTAGTCCAGTCTCCTGCTCTCATGGCAGGACTAAATATGATCTAGACCATTCCTGACAGGTGTTTGTCTAACCTGCTCTTAAACCAGCTTGGGGTTCAGTTCCTCTGACCAGCCCAGAAAGCCAGGAATGCAAAGCAAAACCACAAACCTGTACTGTCCCCGTCCCCCGCACCACCCCAGTATGAAAGAACAAGCAAGGTAGCAGATACACTTGGCATGGCCAGGCATCTGCCTAAGCATGCAGAAACTTTCCATGGTGTCCTGAGTCAGTGTGAAGTCTGCAGTGGATTCTCCAGGAGCTCTCTCTAATGTGGTTGTTCCAAAGTGCTAGCAAGAACAGGGCACTTCCTAGGACATTTTAAGAAATGGGAGGCTTGAAATGCTCCCAAACTTACAACAGCCAGGCTGGAGCAGAATGACCAGTATGGAAAAACTAGCAAGTGACTAGAACTGGCAGACTGTGTTCCTCGAGGGAGACCCAGGCTACAGAGCAGTGCCAAGGCTGCTTCTCCTTCAGGATTGGAGAGACGTTCATCTCCTCCACTCTGATTTCATCCAGAGTAGGCCGCACAGATATTCTTTGCAAGCTGATAGGTCCTGGAGAAAAAACAGTTGTTCCTGTTCTTGAGATTCCCTCCTCAAACCCTCTTGCTGTGAACCACTGGAAGAAACCAAAAGCTAAATAACTCCATTCAGAGGAATGTTGCTATCTCAGGCACTTCATCTGGGGTTCAGCTGGTGCACACCCCAGACCTCTCTGTGCCCCTCAGGTAGGAACAGGAAATGGAGGGGCCCTATTAACAGAAAACAACCTGTAAAGGTTCCCTAGATGTGCCACATTACAGGAGAGTAGGGAAATGTCCCTGACCCACTGGCTCTGTCCATTGCCAGTGGAGAGCAAGTAGCAGGAAATATGGATATTCCTGAACACTGATGTCCCAGATGCAGCACTGCAAATCTCTGCTTCACCAGACAGCCTGTACCAGAGGCAACTGGCACCCGTGCTGATGAAATGTAACCTAGTGGCAACAGCCGTGTTTCCTGAACATGTAATTTCAGGTTCCTGTTCCAGTTCCCTGCTCCAGTTTCTCTGATAAGAAATATGCCGTCAGACCTGCCACTTTGACGTGGGGTGCAGCAAAACTTGACTCCCAAATATATCCCAGCTGCAGACGGAGGCACCATTCCTCACAATGGAGAAACCTTGACTTCCAGGGCTGCGGTGAAGCTGCTCAGATTTCAGCAAAGCTGCTGCTACTAGCAGAGTTTCTGTTCTCCCAAGCAATGCCAGGGAAGCATTTCACAATGAGCTGGCTATTGGTGAGGCCCTGGGTGGGGCCCTGGCTATTACTACCTATTAAAGGATGAATTCCCAACCAGCAGTGCACACCTTAATTGCAGCTTTGGCATCCAGAGGGCAGCTGCCTGGGTTAAAGGCCTTGTTTGTGTACTGCTCACATTTTGTGTTTTGACATGCCAGTGCTTCCTAAGTGGATGTTTTAGGCTGTCTCATGAGTTGGGATCTTGTGCTTCAAACACAGGCCTCCTTCTAAGTGCAGAGATACTTCTCCTCCCCCTGCCCACCTCCTATTCCCAGTGCTTTCATACACCTATTTTCATGTCTCAGGGTGGTTCTGGCTTTATTTACAGGAGTGACTGGGATGCTGAGCATGACTTGATGAACCGTCTACACTTTAACAAGTTTAGCCTCACAGCCTCCCTGTGAAGTGGGTCAGGTTTATTAATCCCAGTTTACAAATGGAAAACGAGGTCACGGAGAGAAGTGACTTGTCCAAGGTTACACAGCGAGCTAGTGGCAGACTGAGAATCTGCTCAGTAATCTCGTGCCTTAGATCCAAGGCTCTCCTCATTCCCTAGGTGGTGGGGGCAGTTGGAAAACGCTGTGGTATTGAAATAAGGCAAAATAATTTGAAAGTTCAGCTCCTGGAATGACATTCAGACAGAAATATCACTGAACCCCCGAGGAAAGCATTGCTTGGCACTGCAAGGATTCCCAGCCTCCAGGTGGGGTACATCAGTAGCTTACCTTCCTGATGCATATAAAATGGCCCAGCAGGGAAAACATACCAGCTACTCACTGAAAAGGGTGGGTGCTTTCAGCATCCCAGACATACTGGAGCAGTCAGCCCTGGGCACAAGGGAGGCGATATTGGGCTGAGTATGGAGCCAGGGATTAAGAGTTCTAATCCCAGCTCCCTCATTGACTCACTGCATGACCTTGGGCAAGTGACAAGCTCCCTGCTTCTGCACACCTCCAGCCAACTGCATGGGGTGAGGGGTTCTGAGGATTAAGGCACAATTTTCAAAAGCAGGAACCTAAAGTTAATCTGCCCAGTCTGTATTTAGGTTCTGGAATAAATGTCCTGACTTGTCAGAAGTGCCGAATTACTAGGGGGCTGTTGGGTGCTCAGCATGTTTGAAAATCAGCCATTTTGTTTAGGAGTCAAAAATACGTACTTGGGACTGAACTTCAGGCGTCTGGTTTTGGCCTGTCCGATTTGGCATCAGGGACTGGTGTTTTCCAAAGAGCACGGAAGTGTTTCCCTTTAGTGAAGGAAACAGCCTCTTCCACTACGAGCAGAGGTCTGTGGAGACAACGAGAGCTAGTGGATGTTGTGTCCCTCTGCAGTGAATGCCTGCAGCTCCATCCAGATGGAGGCCTACTTCCTATGGTAGCTCCATGAATGTCCTTGTAGCGCTTCTGAAACCTGCCCTGCATAGTTCCCTTTACTGATTGGGGTGAAAGTGTACCTGCACTACTCATTGGCCTTCCCTACGACTGCATGGAGAGGGTGGGACTGGCATGCTTTTAACTTGGGCACCAGCCCTTCAGAACGACTGCATACTTGACTCCCTGAGCAGCCAGGGTTTTGGAGAAAATGGACTAGTGGGCCATGGAAAATGCACTGCCTTTCCCCAGGAGGCGCAAGTTACTTGGGCAGTATGGCACCAGTAACCCCACAGGATGTAGGCCCTGCTTTGGATGGTGGACTGTCTGCTAGACAGCATCTGCACTGATGAGTCTCACCTCTGGCTCTAGAATGACTTCCTTTCCCCCTTGCAGGGAGAGGGATTTCTTTCTTTCCTATATTTCGCCAGAATTGCCTGGTACTGAGGTATGATTTCAAACTGCTCAGTTTGCCACCATGCTCCTGTACTGAGTTAGCTCTGCATTTACCTTGGTAACCAGTGGCAACCCTGAAATCCAGAAGAAATGGTCAGGTAGGGATGTCTTGAGATGCCTCAGACAGAGCTTCTCCTTTGGGGTGGGGAGGCTGGCTGGAGTGAATGGCCTGAGCATGGTCAGGGTGTAAGGCACTGATTCGGGTGGTGGATATGTGTGATGGGCTAATGAGAACACCTCTGTCCTAGTGGAGGACGAAACTTTCCAGGGGCGGGGGTAGGAGATAGCACAATCTGACATTGTGACTCTGTTGCATGGCTTCTTGACACACCTGCTGTCTCCCCACTAGATCTGCAACGGTTTGGTGCAGACGACTGGCTGGCCATCCGTGGTGACGTGCGTTGGGAACTGGTTCGGAAAGGGGAAGTGAGTCTGTTTCTTAATCTCTCAGGCTTTTTGTTGTGGCTTCTCTCAAGTGTTTGTTGCTTAATCCCATCCCCTGAGGAAGTGCCTGATTCATACCCTGGCAGTGGCAGGAAACAACACCTGGGACAGAAACCTCTGGACTAACTTTGGTCATGGTGGCACTGTCAAGGCCTGGCCTGAAACTCACACCAGGTCCTACAATACAGCTTTTTTGCGTGGCAGGGGAGACCCTAAAATGCTGAGGCTTCCCAGCGAGGATTGTAGCTCCATTAAAGAGGCAGCTACCCTGAGCCATTTGCCAAAGTAAGCTCTGTGCACACTGCATGTCTCCCTATGTTCCTTCCACTCCGCATAGCTGCCTGTCAGTGCTTTGGGGCAGAGATTCCTGACTTGTTCCAGCACTGAGGGCCTGTCTTGGGAAGTCATCAGTGCTGAGAAGAATGTTTGTTTACCCAGCAATGCCTTGATAAGCCGTTGCCACCTTATTGTATATGTCAGCAACTAGTGATCATATGTTTTGCACCTGCTGGGCCCTCTGTCATGGTCAGATGGGGTGATGAGCACACACCCTGCAAATTGGTCACGCAGGAGCCTGTCTCTGCCATTGCTCCCCAGGGTGCCAGCCCCCCACTTGTCCTCACTGCCCATAACTTTGGATTTGGAGAATTTTCCTCCTTTCCGGTTTCTGTGGCTATAAATCCACATATCCTCCCACTTGCTTGTGTTCGCTGCTGCCGTCCTCATCCAGGCCTTCATTTCCTCTCCCTTGACTGCTGCGGCTCCCTCCCTTAACATGCCAGAGTCCAGCCACTGCCAAATGTAACATCCCCTTCTGTGCGTACAGAGCAGGAGCCTATCCTTAAACACTTTATCATTTGCGTGGGAGCCAGTTCTGAGATATCCCTCCTTGTTTTTAAAACTCCATGGACTCAAAGCAGCCCAGCTCTCATCTGCTCATCGGCCTCTTTTATGTTGCTTCACAGTCACACCATTGTTCATGCTTCTCATTTGCTGATACTGCCACCTGTAGCTGCCTTCGTGGATCTTTGCCTCTCTCTGATTTTACAGCTGAAAGACCTTAGCTGTGACTGTCTCTTCTGGCTTGCTCATGCCCCCTAGTTTTGGCTTTTCCTTGATTGCTACTTTGTTAACTGTATCTCTGTTGCTAAGCTCTGATGTGTTTGGGCCCTCGCGGTATATAGGAATGGTGCTACCCAGAGTGAAATTCCTGGTTACGAACTACTGGCCCATTATCGTCCGTTTCAAGCAATAGTGGGGGCTGCACACAGTCACATCACTAATGCATGCCCTTTCCTTGGAAAAACGTGAGCAAGGCTCAGTTCCCAAATTTGGGCCCTTCCTCCTAGAGAGGCGGATATACAGCACCGGCTTTCTCAGGTCCCCTCTTGGGTTAGGTTGGCCCAGTCTTTGGTGCAGGGTACTTCTTACTGGACCCTGCCATGTTCACACCCACTGGCCAAATCCCCTCTGCTTCCCCCCCCCCCAATTGGCATGGCTGATTGGAACAGGAGAGAGTGTGCCCTGGTTCCTGCTCACACATTTGTCCCCATCAGCTGAGCTGAGAACCCCTTTCTTAGCTGCTGGGGTATAGGGCCTGGGCGTGGAAGAAATGGCGGGACATGGAAGGCTTGCAGGGAAGAGTCTCATATCCACTAGAGTCTATCCCAATAAATGGTCATAACTGGCAAGCACCGCAGAAATGCTGTACTAATGGTTTCCCTCTTGTCCTTCATCAGGAGAGGTCTGATCATGGGCATCTGGAATTCCCATACCTCTGTAGGGAACATCCTGGGGTCCCTGATCGCTGGAGTGTGGGTTTCGTCAGCCTGGGGCCTGTCTTTCATCGTGCCTGGGATCATCATTGCAGTCATGGGAATCATCTGCTTCTTGTTCCTTGTTGAATGTGAGTGTGAGCTGGGCCTAGATGCTTCGTCATAACCTCCTGCAGCCATGCTGCGGCATTCTGCTGGCATGGGGGAGGGAAAGGTGGATACAGCTCGTGGCAGAGAGGTTAGCTTCCCAGTAGCCTCTTCAGGGAGGACAGTACCTGGTGCAGCTTTGCTGACACCATGCCAGCCCTCCGTAGTGACGAGGAGAGAACTGGCTGTATTCAATATTTAGGGCTGGCATCTGAAGCCTTTCAGCTCTAGGACACTGGGATAGCTGGTGAATGACCCTGAAACCTCCCTTCAGTATTGGCTTGACCTCTGGCAGGGTGCCATCCCCTTTGTGCTGGTGTCTGAGAACCCTCCAGCAAACCAGTTCCCTGGCAGGAGCGTTGGTGGAAATGGCAGATGGAACCAGTTGGTGCTGGAGAATATCCATGGGCTGTGGATTCAGGCTGTCGGAGTACTCTCCCCAGGAACTGGGTTTTACGAATGATGCTAGTCTCGTCGGTGTTTGTGAGATCGGTGTCAATCAGAGCTAGCTGGCAGAGCTCTAACTGTGAAGAGCGGAGTCTTGACGGACCAAAAACTGATTATTCTACAATATCTCGTTAAGCTGATGAATTCTGAGCGAGGATAACCTGGGCACAGGTTATCTACGGAAAGAGCCAACACCTGTTACTGAGCTAAAGACCCGGGTTCCAAAGTCCTTATCTGATGGCTGTACAGTGGCCTGTGTGGAACCAGTATGTGATATCAGAGCAGTTCTCATGGACTCAGTGTTGTGTCTTGACTTTAGAGCTTGAAAGGCTTATCTCCCTTTGGGAGTCCCTGTGGGACTGTCCTCTGTAGTACAGTGCTGCATGGCCATGTGGAGGCTCTCTGGGGAAACACTAGAAAATGATAGGCCAATAACAAGAATGAAAACCTTGGAAAGGGGTTTGGCTCTCCAGGGAACATGAGGTCCTAGAAGAGCCATGCCCGAGGGCAGTGACTGAAAAATCTCTTATCCCTCAAGCCCTGTCAGCCTCTCTCCATGGTGGCACACGCTGGTGAGGTGCTGAACGTCTTTCTGACTGGCACGCAGAGCAGTAAATCGGCAGCATGGGAGCTAGCCATAGGGAAAGCCGCACAAAGCAGGGGCCCACTTCCAACCTTAGTATTTCACAGCTGCTGTGTGGGGCTTCTGCAACCATGTGAAGCCAGGAAGCTGTCTGCTGTAGGGTTGAACTCTTACAGTGGAAGGAGTGCAAAGGAGCATCTTGACATCCAGAGAAGTGAAGCAGGGACAGCAGTGGGGAGAGTTCCTGGGAGCTCATACACCCCCTTGCAGCCACAAAGATCTCTGCTGGAGGCATGGTACCTTCCAGTGGGGACAGCTTTCAAAGCTCTTTGGGGAACATGGGGTCACCTAAGGGTAAAGCCTCCTAGTCAGATTCCATGAGAATCCTCACGCCATGCGCTGCTGTGATGTGATGTGTGGGGACCCCAAAGCTGAAAGGAACGTTGGCCAGACCCTGACTTACAAAGGGATTGAGGCACCTAAAGATGCAAAGAGGTGCCTAGTGGGATGTACAAAAGAGTCCAAGTTAGGCACCTGACCCCCCATTAGGCACCTGTTGAACTCCTTGTCAGGGGATGTTGTGAGGGCCAAAAGTATCACTGGGTTCAAAGAAGAATTAACTAAGTTCATGGAGGATAGGTCCACCAACAGCTGTTAGCCAAGATGGGCAGGGAGGCAACCACATGCTCAGGGCGTCCCTAGCCTGTGACTGCCAGAAGCTGGGACTGTACGACGGGATGGGTCACTCAATAAATTGCCCTGTTCTGTTCAGTACCTCTGAAGCGCCTGGAATTGGCCACTGTTGGAAGACAGGATACTGGGCTAGATGGACCATTGGTCTGACGCAGTCTGGCCGTTCTTATGTTATTAGGTACCTCTCTGCATCTTTAGGTGCCTAGTTACCTTTGTCAATTTGACCCTTTGTGTCTCTTGCTCCACGGGGCTCAGACAGCTCACAGAGCACCTTTAACTTCAGACTCAGAGCACTTTGTATGGAAACAGCAAATGGCTATTGCCATCTAGTGGCAAGTGATGATACAACTGCTTCCCTATCTTGGCCACACTATTGCTCTGCATGGCTGAGCTGAAATGCGTCCGCTAAGCTTTTACCGCCAGCACTAGAAAGGGAGTGAATTTAGTGCTCTGGTCTCAGAGCTCTCCTAGAGGTATGTAGATCTGCTGCCCGCCAGGCATGTTCCCCATAAAAGCGAAGGCCCTCTCCCACTCATCTCTGCAGCTGGAAAATAGAGGGGAAATGAGCCCTTTGGGAACACTTGGGGTCTTCCAGTTCACTTCACTTCAGCAAATATAGTCACTGGTCTCTAAAGTCACCTTTACTGCGAGCTGCTGCCAAGCCTCAGCTTTGCCATCACTGCTAAATCTTGGACCTGCTTTTCAGATTGCTGTAACTGGGGCCTCTTATTCTTCAGGTCTTGTAGCATGAAATGCTGGGGCACACTGCGCAAGGGTTTGCACTCTCCTTTTCCTAGTTGTGGGGCTCCTGAGTTAGTGCACAGGAAAGCTCTTGTCCCGTGGGGCGGGCTGCACACATGCTACAGACTAGGGACTGCTGGATTAGCTTCCCACACTGGCTGTTATGCATGTGCTGAGGTAACGGGAGGATGCAAGGGGGTTGTTGTGTGTGGCAGTCACATGGAATCTCTCTCTCTTTCAGATCCTGAAGACGTTGACTGCAACCCACCTCTACACCATGTAAGTTAACTTCCTTTCCAAGCTCTCTGAACAATCCTGGGCTAGGCAGGATTTCCTCTTCCCCTCTCAGCAAGGGCAGTACCATTTCCAGGGAACACGGTTCCAAACCCCAGCTTCCCATTTCCCTGGTGTGGGGCTAGCAAGGGAGATTGCAGCAATTCACTCTGCTGTGGTATGGCAAAAGCTCCGATGTGCAGCCATAGCCATGGGAATGGCACAAGTTAACCAGAGATGCAGGATCTCTCAATGAGGGTGCTCCTGATGCTTTGGCTGTTGAGCTCTGGCTCGTGTGCTGTTGTGTAGTTCACTGGCTGGAATCTATAAATAACCTGTGTAACAACATATTTCCCCAGGAAACCTGTGTGGAGATGTACTGTAATGTTCTTGGCATGTCCCCTGTTCAGCTGCCTTGACGGAGGCACATTGATCCCATGGCACAGGTGGCGCTCTGAGCTTTCCTGCTTTCATTAGCCGTGCGGCCTTCCTCGCTCAGAGCACTTTTCAGGGCTAGAGACACATCAGTTAGCGAGGGTGCCAAGCTGATGTGCGTGAGTGGACTGACCAGGCAGCTCTTCGGCAGAACCTAAGAAGGGCTGCTGACAGCTGCTTGACTTTTTTTTTTTTTCTTGTTTCTTAATGAAGTTTTTTCTAAAATTAAACTTCAGGGAAAGCTTTTTAAACCCACCTTCTCCCTCCCCCCAGCCTCATGCAGCCTTGATAGAAACTGAACCTTTCAGTTTTCCCCCTTATCTCTTCCTCCTCCCTCCACCCCCCAGAACAAACAGAAAAGCTGGGGTGGGGGGAGGGAGGGAGAGTTTATACTATTCGCAAGTTTTCCTCTTGAAACTCGGACAGAGCCTGATGTGTGGCCAGTTCTCGGGCAGTGGGATTAGCAGCACCGGCCACAGGCAGGTGTAACTGTCAATGTGCAAGCTCATTCCTGAGCTGAATACCCCCACATTTCCAGTGATGGACTCCAGTGCACCTTGGTACATGCTTCAGCCATGGCCTGCCACACTCCTGCTCTATTACGGCTGGTCTACCCAGAGAAATGTACTGGTATAATGACACTGCTGTATTCAGTATAACTTCCTGTGTGGACATTCTTATTCCACTATGGCACTAGAATTTACCAGCAGAACTATATTGGTATAACATCCCATGTAGACAAGCCCCTAGTCCTGTCAGTCTCTCAAACCCAGAGCCAGGTTAAGGCAGCTTGGAGTCCTTGGCACAGCCTCAGCCTGGCATTGGGACCTCACCCTGATTGGAGCAGTGTTGGCAGGGGCTGCCCATGTGAGTTGGTTGGAGTCATGTAGGGCTAAAACCCTCCTTTCTGGGAAAACTGAAAATCACTGCTCTGTCTTCTGGGAACCTGGGGCTGCCCGAGCAGTGAGGACTCTGCCTCCACTCCCCTGAGCAGAGAACTTTGGGGGATGGGCTCTGCTGACATCACCCCATGAGAACTGATGATGGGGTGGCAGCAGTGAGGGCCCCTGTTCTGGTGGTGATGGCAGGGCCCCTCCCCCCAGCCCAGCTGTGGCTTTCACTGTTAACAAATCCATTGAAATGAATGGCATAGCTCATTTGTCAGCTATTATTTCAGGCTGTCTGCAAACTCAGGCAGGTGTGACTGCCTTGGTTCACCTTGGAAACATGACCTGAGTGTTTGCAGCCATAAGGGCTAGAAGCAGTTTTTGTTGTGCGTTTGTGTTTTTGTTTCTTTTTAAACGAGAGCTGAGATTTTTGACCCCAGGAGTGAGAGCCCTACACGTGGGCCTATAATGCCTGGCCCTGAAACAGCAGGCTTGTTTCGCAGCTGTGTGACTGTGCAATACTTCATCCCGTTATACTGATGGGTCTGAGTATGAGAATAAGCTGTACCTGCAACCAAAGGGTGGGCTGGGCTTGACAGGTGTGCCAGGCCAGGGTATGGGCACACTCTGCTCCAACTATGCCTGAGTGTAAACTGCTGGGCTAATCTGGTTTCAGATGGAATCGGAGGAGAGAGACCCTGAAGTGACGCTCTCCACGGATGATGGGAGCTGTATCCGAGAGAACACTATCGATTCTTCAGTGTGTCCCAGAGAACCAGCTGAGCAGCCAGAAGCCATCAGCTTCTTAGGAGCCCTCAGGATACCTGTGAGTAGAAGAACCAGGCTGCTTGTGGGTCCAGAATATTCTGAACAGGGGGCTAATGTCCTGTGGGATTTGGGATGCCACTTACTATACGCCAGCACAGGCTGAGGTGAAGTCCAAGCTGACCTGTAGCTGAACATGAGAATGGCCCTATTAGGTCAGACCAAGATCCATCTAACCCAGTACCCTGACTTCCCACAGTGGCAAGTGTCAGCGGGAATGAACAGAACAGGGCAATTTTATCTAGTGATCCATGCCAGGTCATTCAGTCCCAGCTTTTAGCAGTCTGAGGTTTAGGACACGGAGAGCATGGTTAATGGCCATTGATGGACCTGTCCTCTATGAACCTACCTACTTCTTGTTTGAACCCCATTATAGTTTTGGCCTTCACAGTGTCCCCTGGCAACGTGTTCCATAGGGTGGCTGTGCGTTGTGTGAAGAAGTATTTCCTTTTGTTTGTTTTAAACTTGTTGCCTATTCATTTCATTGGGTGACCCCTGGTTCTTGTGTTTATGTGAAGGGGTAAATAACACTTCCCTATTCAGCTTCTCTGCACCTGTCAAGATTTTATAGGCCTCTTACCTATCCCCCTTAGTCGTCTCTTTTCCAAGCTGAACAGTCCCAGTCTTATTAATCTCTCTCCATATGGAAGCTCCAGTCATTTTTGTTGCCCTGCTCTCTGTACCTTTTCCAATTCTAATATATTATTTTTGAGATGGAGTGACCAGTGCACACAATATTCAAGGTATGGGTATGCTGTAGATTTATATAGTGGCATTATGATATTTTCTGTTTTATTATCTATCCCTGTCCTAATGGTTCCTAACATGAGCTTTTTTGACTGCTGCTGCACATTGAGCAGATGTTTTCAGAGAACTATCCACGACTCCACGATCTCTTTCTTGAATGGTAACAGCTAATTTAGACCCCATCATTTTGTATGGATAGTTGGGATTATGTTTTCCATTGTGTTTTACTCTGCATTTATCGACACAGAATTTCATCTGCCATTTTCTTGCCTAGTCACCCAGTTTTGTGAGATCCCTTTGTAGATCTTCCCAATCTGCTTTGGGCTTAACTATCTTGAGTAATTTTGTATCATCTGCAAATTTTGCCACCTCGCTCTTTACCCCTTTTCCCAGATCATTTACGAATATCTTGAACAGCACTGGTCCCAGTACAGATCCTTATGGGGGCCTGCTATTGCCTCTCTCCATTGTGAAAACTAACCGTTTATTCCTACCCTTTCTTTCCTGTCTTTCTAACAGTTTCTGATCCATGACAGGGACTTTCCTTTTTATTCCATGACCGTTTACTTTGCTAATGAGCCTTTGGTGAGGGACCTTGTCGAAGACTTTCTGAAAGTCCAAGTACACTATATCCACTGGATCACTCTTGTCCATGTGTGTGTTTGACCCCCCCCAACGAATTCTAATAGATTGGTGAGGCATGAATTCCCTTTACAAAAGCTGTGTTGACTCTTTCCCAACAAACTGTGTTCATCTGTGTGTCTGATAATTCTGTTCTTTAGTGTAGTTTAAATCAATTTGCCTGGTTCTGAAGTTAAGCTTACTGGCCTGTAATTGCCAATTTCGCCTCTGGAGCCTTTTTAAAATATTGATGTCACATTAGCTATCCTCTAGTTATCTGGTACAGAGGCTGATTTAAGTGATAGGTTACATATCACAGTTAGTAGTTCTGCAATTTCACATTTGAGTTCCTTTAGAACTCTAGGGTGAATCCCATCTGGTCCTGGTGACTTATTACTGTTTAATTTATCAATTTATTCCAAAACCACCTCCACTGACCCTTCAGTCAGAGGCAGCTCCTCAGATTTGTCACCTTAAAGGAATGGGCTCAGGTCTGGGAATCTCCCTCATTATCTGTGGTGAAGACCAATGCAAAAAATTAATTTAGCTTCTCTGCAACAGACATCCTGTATTAAGGCCTTTAGCACCTTGATCGTCCACTGATTGTTTGGCAGGCTTCCTGCTTCTAATGTTGTTGTTTTTTTTGTTTTTGTTTGTTTTATTTTATTGTATTTATTTATTTATTTTTGTGTTTGGTAGTTTTTGTGTCTTTTGCTAGTTGTTGTTGTTCAGATTATTTTGTGACCCTCCTACTTATACGTTTATACTTGACTTGCCTTGCGGGCAAGTCTACACAGCAAAATTAAGTCAACCTAAGGTACATAATTGTACAGCCACCCAAATGACTAAATTGCTTGGCGGTGTGCACTCTCGCCAGGAGTGCCTGCACCGATTTAACTGTTAGTGTGGGACGTTGTGGGATAGTTTCTGAAAGGCCTCACCAGTCAATGTAAACAACACAGTGTCTATGTTGGCACTGCGTCAACCTAACTACGTTGACCTCAGCACTATGCCTCTCACCAAGGTGGAGTTATTAAATCGGTGTAGTGGGCAAGTTACATTGGTGGGAGCTACATTTGAGTGAAGATGCTTTTGGAATTAAATCCATGTAAGCTGCCTCACATAGAACTCTGTAGTGTAGACCAGGCCTGAGTTTATGCTCCTTTCTATTTTCCTGAGTAGGATTTGACCTCCAATTTTTAAAGGGTGTCTTTTTGCCTCCAACCACCTCTTTTTCCTTTTTTTTAATTTGGGGTATGCGTTTAATTTGTTTTAATTTAATAAATTTAATAAATTTATTATGGTGATTTTAAAAGTTTCCATGCAGCTTGCAGATATTTCTCCTTTGTCACTGTTCCTTTTAATTTCTGTTTAACTAGCTTCCTCATTTTTTTTGTAGTTCCCCTTTATGAAGCTAAGTGCTTCAATAAGTGGGTTTATTTGGTATTTCTCCCCCCCGCCCCCCCGGATGTTAACTTGAATTACATTATGGTCGCTGTTACTGAGTGGTTCAGCTATATTCCCATCTTGAACCATCCTGCACTTCATTTAGGACTAAATCAAGAATTGCCCTCCCCTTGTGGGTTCCAGGATTAGCTGCTCCAAGAAGCAGTCATGTAAGGTCTCTAGAAATTTTATCTGCATCTCATCCTGAAGTAACATGTACCCAGTCGATATAAGGATAGTTGAAATCCCCCATTATTACTGAGTTTTCTATTTTTGTAGCCTCTTTAATCTCCCAGAGCATTTCACAGTAAGTGTCACTATCTTGGTTAGGTGGTGGTTAATAGTGTATTCCTTCTGCTATACTCTTATTATTCAAGATTCTATGGTATAGTTTGATTCATTTAATATTTTTACTATATTTGACTCGGTGCTTTTTTTCATGTATAGTGCCACTTCCCCACCAGCAAGACTTACTCTGCCATTCCTGTATATTTTGTACCATGGTATTACTGCGTTCCATTGATTATCATCATACCTATTATATCAATATCCTCATTTAATACCAGGCACTCAAGTTCACCCATCTTATTATTTAGACTTCTAGCATTTGTATATAAGCACTTATAAAATGTGTCCGTATTTAGTTGTCTGCCTTCATGTGATGCATTGAATGGGACTCCTTTTTCATGGAGGACAGGTCCATCAGTGGCCATCAATGGACCAAACCCCCTAGTCCAGAGGGTGTCTTCCAACCCTTATATTCTATGATTCTGTGATTAACCATGCTGTGGATATCCTAAATCTCTGACTGCTAAAAGCTGGGACTGAATGACAGGGGTGGATCACTAGATAAAATTGCCCTGTTCTGTTCATCACAAACCCAGCTATCAATATTTCTAATGATGAAATCCCCCAGTACTATTACCTGGCTCTTCCAAGTAATCGGGGTCCCTTCCCCTGGAAGAGTATCCTCCGTACGAAAGGATACCATGACATCATCTGAAAGGATTGAAGGGATGCTTACTAGCAAAAGGCAAGGACTAGCTTTGTCTTTCAGCTAATGACAAGAACAGACACAGGCAAAACACTGGCCTATCAGACTCTGTGTGACAAGATGGGAGCCCCTGCCTCCTAGAGGGGGAGGAGTTAACCTTGGGGACCCAGTGACTGACCGGATTACAGAACCGGATGTGCAGCACCCTCTGCACAATGGGTCTGAGTCTCTGGTCCTTAAGAGCAGCCCTGACTGTCCAGGGCCCCAATAGGAGGGGCTAGTCCCAAGGGTGTGCACCACTCTCTCCCATCCCCTCAAACCAGGGTTCTCCCAGCTGCCTTGTGTGCCCCCCAACTGCCCAGAGGGGCCTTGGTGCCTTCCCCCACCCCTCTGTGTTCCATATGGCCTCTGTTACTGCAGTAACTGAGCACCTCACAATCTCCTTGTACCCCCTCAGCCCCCGTGAGGCAGGGTAGTGCCACTGTCCCCATTGTACAGAGTGGGAAGGAAGGCATGGAGACACCACTAGGGTTGCCAGCTTTAGTTGGATGTATTCCTGGAGGTTTCATCACATGACATAATCTTTAATTAATGATTAATCTCTGATCCCTGGAGACTCCAGGACAATCCTGGAGGGTTGGCAACCCTAGACACAGCAGCGGAGATACAAAATCAACTATTATGCTTTAAAAAAGAAAAGTATTTATATTTTTAAAAATAAACCCATTGAAAATAAAATTTTGAAATTGAGAGCCTATACTAGGGCCTAAAAATTGTACAATCTGTTAAAATTTCCATTTAAATAAAATTCAAGCAGGCCATGTTCATTGCTGAACTTTGAAAGGAAGTCAAAGCACTGAGCTGGGGGAAGTCACTGGCGAAGCACCTAGAAGCAGAGTTTGTTGAAGTGCTAAACCAGCTTTTGACGGCAGTAGCCTCTTCTTCACATGCAGAGAGAATACTTTACTTCCTTCACTTCAGTTTATTCAACAAGTTCAGTTCCATGACTTTCTCCTCCAAAACTGAGAAACCAATTTGGGAGTTGAAAAAGCAGGAAAGCTTGTTTTCCTCCTCCAGTCTATGAATAAAAGTGAGGTGTGAGTCCTACATATCGAAAATTCAGAAGGACAATGCTCAGCTGCTCTTCCTGGTGTTTATTTTAAGATGTGAGCTTTAGAAATGTGATTAGTGTGCAGTGGGTGTGCCTTGTGTGTCAGAGAAATCCAAATGGTGGGCCATTTCCCTGAGACCGTGTAACTCCTTGTCTGGTTGTGCTTCGGATAACATTCCCTCCGTGTCTGCAGTGTTCTTCTTTCCCTATCTGCCGTATGCTTCCCGAACACCTGGAACTCTGCAAATAGTGTGATGAAGCTGTTTGATTGACCAAGGTGATCATTAGCACCGCTGATGCACCCAACGTACGGGATTGGGATGAAAGCAAACGGAAGGAAAGAAGAGGATGGAAGGGGGAGGATGGAGGTCCCCTCTGTGTCTTGGGGTTTTCTGACACTGACCTTTCTCCCCTCTATCTCCTCCCCAGGGTGTGGTGGAGTTCTCCTTATGCCTGCTGTTTGCAAAGCTGGTCAGTTACACTTTCCTCTATTGGCTGCCTCTCTACATTGTGAATGTTGGTGAGTCACAGGAAGCTACTAATATCCATTTAACTACTTCACCGTGTGTGCTCTGGATGGAGGGTTCTCATTCTCCAGACTCCAGGCAGGAGTGCACAGGCTTCCCGCAGAGGAATCTTGCTCATTTGCTCTTAGTGTTCTAGTGAAAGAAAGTGTTCTCTGCTTCCTAGTAAGTCTTCAGTCTCCTGGGAAAACCTGGCTGTGGTTCAGGAGTGTGTGGGGACCTCAGCTGACGGACACGGATGTGCACCACAATGGCAGCTCAGCTCTTGTGGCCAGCTGTTCTCAGTGATGCCCATCGTGGTGCTGGGCAGGTCCATGGGGTTTCGATGCAAATGTTTCTCCAAATTAAGCAAGTGACAGTGCGTCCTGTGCCTGCAGTCTAGGGTGCAAGTGCCTTACAGTGGGCTCCTAGTGAACAAGGCGTCTTCTTGGGCATCCACAAGAGCTTGTTCTGGCTCCCAAGAGATCCATACCCAGCATCAGTGGATGTCTGTGTCTCAGCCCCCACGAGCTCTGGCTCCTGATGCCAGGAGAATAACCACACAGCCAGAGCTCAGGCTTGCTCTGAACTTCTGACAAGTGAACGTCTCTGTTGATGCATCTCATTTCATTGCAGCTCACTTCGGCGCTAAGGAGGCTGGGGACCTGTCCACGCTCTTTGATGTTGGTGGCATCCTAGGTCTGGCATTCTTCACTGTTGCTTGCTGTGTTGCCATTGTGGACAGGGAGGGATGATGACTTGTGGCTAAAGCACAGGCCTGGGACACAGAGAGGAGTTGTATCCCTGGCTCTGACCAGGGTTCCTGGGGGGAACCTTCGCCAACTCAGTTGCACCTAAACTGTCAAATGTGTCTCCTGATTTGGGTGCCTACCTTGAGATGAGGCATGACTCCCAGAGGTGTTCAGCATCCACCACTCCCATTGCTAGCTGGAGTCGTGGGTGCTCAGTGCCTCTGACCATGAGTGTCGCAAGTTGGCCCTGTTCTCTGCCTGGGCTTTATCTGAAAAATGGGAGTAACACTTGCCCTTCTCACCGGGGCATGGGGGCTGTAAGGATTGACTCCTGTTTGTAAAGCATGTTAAGAGCCATGGAAGGCGAGTGCTAATAGAAGTACCAATTATTATCACGTATTTTTATTATTCTGCTCACTGATTGGCTTGTAGTGACAGCTGTTTAGAATCTGGGCCCTTGCTGCATACGTCTGTTTTCCAGCTCAGAGTGTGAGTTGCCTGGAATTCTCTCCTCTGCCTGAGGTCTAACCGGTCACCAGACAGTAACATCTGTCTGCAAGGCGCCGAGCACCTTCCTGAAATCGTGTGGAAAGGCAGCAGTGGGACAAACCCCTGCTCTGACAGAATACAAAGTATGTGACTTTCTCGTGCAGGAGGCATTCTGGCTGGTCTCATATCGGACTACACTGGCGGCAGGGCCACCACATGCTGTGTGATGCTGATAGTGGCTGCTCCCATGGTGCGTATTGTGATGGAAAATGCTCACTAGTCCTCGGTCACGAGGGCTTGACATGAGCCTCTTCCCTCTGCTCCTCCCAAGTAAGCCCCTTCGAGTCATATGCACTTTCCTGCGATGAGTGGCCAGATGGAATCTTGTGCAGGGGTCTGGAACCTAGGGTGGGATCAGCATGAGTCACAACTTGCATGTCTAGCTCTTGTTCCTGGATGAGGATATTCACTCTGGAGCTCTTCCTAGCTCTTCCAGCATCCTCCACAGCGGGGCACAGGAGGCCATGTGAGAGGCTTTCCTCCACCCCCTGCGCTCTGCTCACTGCCCCTTCCTGAACCTCTGCAGTGAGGGTGCCACCTCCACCTCCCTTGGGAGTCTACTGCACTATCCAGCTGCTTCTTCCTAAACTTCTACTCCTTAGCCTGATACCAAGTGTGCTTGGTCTGCACCCTAGAGGCTGACTAGCTTCCTGGTTCTGCCCTGTGCTAGCTCTTGTAATGTCCTCCAGTAAGAGACAGGAGCTGTAGAGCAGTTCTCTCAGCACTGCTGCTCCTCTGCCTGGTCGATGTGGGTCTGAAACAGAAAAGCTATACTCCACTATTAATGTTCAAAACTCCTAAGCGTCATTCCTAGTGAGGCTGAATCAATCACTGAATAGGGACCCGTCTACTCCCTTTATCATAGAATCATAGAATATCAGGGTTGGAAGGGACCTCAGGAGGTCATCTAGTCCAACCCCCTGCTCAAAGCAGGACCAATCCCCAACTAAATCATCCCAGCCAGGGCTTTGTCAAGCCTGACCTTAAAAATATCTAAGGAAGGAGATTCCACCACCTCCCTAAGTAACCCATTCCAGTGTTTCACCACCCTCCTAGTGAAAAAGTTTTTCCTAATATCCAACCTAAACCTCCCCCACTGCAACTTGAGACCATTACTCCTTGTTCTGTCATCTGTTAGCTGGAGTAGAAAGGCAGCCTTCAGGGTCTTGGTGTCTCCAAGAGGAATGGAGGGTGGGAGGGAAAATGAATAGCCATCCCTTTTGTTCTAAGGCACTGGAGTTCTCTGCAGCACAGGGGAGCTCTTGGTGCAGCTGTGAATCAGTGAGGTGCAGATAGCAGTCCTGCTGCTATGCAAATTTGGCAGGAGGCTGGCATCTGACTGCTCCCTGCTGGAGCTCTTCCTCTGCTTGAATGCATGGTGGCTCAGGCAGGGAAAATTATGGGGAGCCCTCCTGTCTACTTTGCACAGCACCCAGTAGCATCCGGGAGGCTGTTCTTAAACTCTGGCCGCTCATCCAGGCATCCAGGACTGTCCGAACCTGCTGCACAGTGATGGGAAGATGGGCCTTTTGGCTGGTATTGTCTGGGCTGGTGGCAGGTTATGGTGCCTCTGGGTCACCAGATCAAAGCAGCCAATGTTGATAGTTGCTGAAAGCAACCCAACCCACCCATCACAGTGGACAGAGCGCTGCAGATACCCGTGGGCTGTTTGAGGATCGGCTTGTAGATGTAATTTTTTATCTGCGCAGGGCTCTAACAGTGGGACTCCTTCTGCCAGCCCAGAAGTGTCCTGTGGGTTCTGGAGTAAAGGAGGAGTTAAAGTTAAAATGTTTGTGGCTTTTCCCCCTGTGGGTAGGATACCCCCCACATCTGTGCTGAACTCCACTTCAGTTTGACTTCACCGTTCACCCCTAAAAGCAACTAATTGGACCAAGTTGCAATGTGAACACACTCTGACTCTTAGTTGCCATTCTGTTCCCAGCCCAAATGCCTCTGGTGCTGCAGTCTATCATTAGTGCAAAGCTGCGGCGGTGAGACCCTGTCTAGGAGGTCAGAATGCAGGCTCTGAGGTCCTGGTCCAGATGCTGTGGTAGAGCAGTGACAGCACCACGGAGAGAAGTTATTTTGTATTGCTGGATTTCACCTTCTTCCAGACTCTGGATTCACGTCGCCCACCAAATGAAACCGAATCCCAAAGACAGCTATGTTTGGCTGGCTGCCCAGTTACCAGCTGCTGGTATTTTATCTGGCAGTCGAACCACAGAACTGAAGGCCAAATGAGAGATTCTGGCTCTGTTATTCCCCTTCAGTCCTGCCCTCCCATAAATACCTGCCAACATCTGCTCTGGCTGACTTACTCAATTCACACTTTCTGGAAAGACTAAAAATTTTCTAACCAAGAAGTAAAACTTAACTTCCTCTTAAAAACACATTGCTGAGTGACCAGCAGGTGTCCCTAGAACGCTTCCCATAACGCTTGGCTTCAGATGTGATTGGGTGGGATGTGCACTGGCAGGATTGACACTGGCTCCTGCTCTCCTGCCATGTGGCAACGACGCCCTTCCCTCAGCAAGCAGGGTGGAAGTAACACTCTCCTTAACATGCCACAGTGGGCCTCTTTTCCTACACTCAACTCTACAACTCCTAAAGAGATCTCCATTCAGGATAATGGCTGTTAATCAATCTAGTGCTGTCTTGGAACTAACAGTGCCTTCTGATCCTTGAATGACCCCCCCTCCCGCCCATATCTGGGTGTGTCTAATTGGCTCTCCTCACCCTCTCTGTTTTACTCTTGTCTGGGAGAAGGGGTGAGAGACGGGTACAGAATCAATACTGCTATGTCGTCCACCCTGACACATCTGGTTCCAGGAGTTTAGCATGGAAAGCATGAGAACTTAGCTGTTGGAGTGCAGGTTAGGTTTTCCCAAGAGCCTTCTTGAGTAGAGGCCAAATTCTTTGAGCATTTCCTTTTGCGCTCAGAGGGAGCCGTGCACATGTGCATGTACTGCCCCCCAAATCCCCCAGCCACAAACTAGGTCTAAATTAAGGACCTCGATGTTTATTTAGGCAGCTAAGTATGTGGGCTGACATTTAAAGGGAATGAGCACCCCAACAGCTGGCTTCAGCGGGAGCTGCAAGTACGTACTCGGTCCCTCGGAGAATGGATTTAGCGCCTGATAGGCCCCCAAGCTAGACAGGATTGGGTCCCTCCTTTGTCTGAAAGGATCCAAATGTGGACTCGGGGTCTTGCACATATGGGGGGGAGGGATCGCTCAGTGGTTTGAGCATTGGCCTGCTAAACCCATGGTTGTGAGTTCAATCCTTGAGGGGGCCATTTAGGCATCTGAGGCAAAAAAAAAATTGGGGATTGGTCCTGCTTTGAGAAGGGGGTTGGACTAGATGACCTCCTGAGGTCCCTTCCAACCCTGATATTCTATGATAAGATAAATGCTCTTAGCTGGGAAAGGGGATGGAACAAGAATCCAGGCAGGTGCAGTGAGCAAGCCCTTGCAACTTGTCTGGGACCCAGAGATGCTCTGCTTGATCTCGAGAGGAAGGCGAGTTCCTTCTGGAATGGGGTCGGGGGGAACTTGAGACAAATCGCTGTTCTGTGTCCAGGATTGTCCATGGAGGGTTTCCATGGAAATAACCCTGATACTTGTGTCCACTTGTCATGGCTGCAGCTAGGCCCTCCACCCAGCTGGGGTCTATGGAGGGAGAGCAGAAATTAAGTAAGGGGTTTGGTAATTCTAACCTGCTGGCATAATCAATATCTCCTCTTTGCTTCCAGCTATTCCTGTACAATCACGTTGGCCAGAATGGAATAGCCAGTTCAATAGGTAAGTAGAACTTCAGACTCTTGTGAACAAACCAGTGAGTTTGTTCACAAGTTTGAGTTTCTAGATGAGCCATCTCTGCCTCTCTGGAGGCAAATAAACCATCTAGACTCCTCCCATCTCCTCCAGAATGATCTGCCCTAGGGAAATCTTAACTGGTAGACCCTGGACTGTAGTTACGTACACTGGGAGAATTTGTCTGATGCTAGACGGCTCTTTAATCTAGCAGCCAAAGGCAGAAGTATCTTCCAGCCAATTGTACCTTAAGTTGGCAAAGTTCAAACTGGAATAAGATGGCTTTTTTAACAGGGAGATTGGTTGACCATTGGAAGAATTTATCTAGGGATGTGGTGGAATTTCCATCACCTGGACATCTTCTTCTAAATCACATCATGGCCCCAACAGTTATTGGGCTCAATGCGGGAATTGCTGGGTGAAATTCAGTGGCCTGTAGGAAATTGGACTCAGTGATGACTGGGCCCCCTTCTGGCCTTAAAATCACAACTAGTCACTGGTGCCACACGGTTGCTATTGCTGTTATTTTGTAAATCTCCCCTCTTCACCCCCCACCAACACCCCATTTCTGTCTTCAGAACCTGTTTGCATCAAGGTCCCCAGCAAATCTTCCTCTGATCCAGGCCTCACTCACTGTCACACTTGTCAAAGCACCTAACTATGGCTGATAGGTACAGAATAAAGTGATGCTGTCACAGCCCAGAATGTTCCCTTCCCATCTGCACTCAGCCTTCCCCAAGCCTTGGCTTATTCTTTTGTCACCACTGTAGTCACGTTCTAGGCCTTCGAGTAGCCAGGGGGAGTGGAGATGCAATGGACCCGCAACTAGTCTTATTTCATCTCCTTGCCCTCTCCCCAGGACTCAGGCTCCAATTAGTTATCAGCCAAGTGACTGAAATGGAGGTCACGGTATCACTGAAGTCGTGCTGTAAGAGTTTGTTCCTGCCTGCAGGAGGATGGTTCTTGAGCCAGGCACTTGGGGAGCAGAGGCGGGAAGATGTGACATTCTGAAAGGGAAGAGTAAATGTGTAATGCAGAACCAGTCCTGCAATGGCCTCCAGAATAGTATGTTGGAGATGGAGAGGGGACACTCAACCTAACAGGGCCTTCCTGGGCTGCCTGTAACTCCAAATGGCTCTTGCTTCCAATTCCCTTGCTCCCAGGGTGACCTTGTTGTCCCACTATGAACTCAACGGCAGAACTATGAGCTCACAGAAATTAGAAGCACCCAGGAGATGCCAGTACAGCAGAGTAGCAAATACACAAATCTTTGACTGAATCGCCATAGGCTCTTGGCATACAGCAGGGCCAGCTGTGCTGTAGAATTGATACTCTTTCTCTTTCTCTTTGCAGCTATGCTTATTATATGTGGTGCCCTGGTGAATGGGCCTTATGCTCTCATTACGACAGCGGTTTCAGCTGACTTGGTAAGAATTCTACTGTTTGTTTTTTCTTAGGGCAGGTCTATACTTAAAACACTGCAGCACTTCAGTGAAGACACTACTTATGCTGATGGGAGAAGCCCTCCCGTCAGTGTGCGTACTTCACCCCCCTGACAGGAGGTAGCTTTGTCAGCGGGAGAAGTCCTCCTGTCAGCATAGTGCTGTTTACACCAGGGATTAGGTGGTTTACCTGCATTGCACAGAGGTGTGGATTTCTCACACCCCTGTGTGACATAGTTATGCCGACCTAATTTCCTAGTGTAGACCTGGCCCCTCTCGTCTCACTTGAGCCTTTTTTCTTATTTTTTGGCTAGGTCAAAGTTTGAGGCCTTCCATTCCAACTGCAGCTTTTTGTGCACCGCCCTCCATACAAAGGCTGTTCTGTCTCCTCTCCATAGAGGGTTATTACTGGTGTATCATGTGCAAATACCTGCATCTTGGGCCTCTCCTTAGTGCAAATCCCTCCTCTCCCTCCCCACCCTCCCGGGCTAGGATCGCACAGAGCACAAGTGCAAGAAAGTCTTCTCATCGAGTGTAAAGCTGCCACCTGGGCTGAGCCCTCCTGGTGGCAGGGGGACAAGGGCTGGGACGCTGCATTAGAAACTTGGAGGGATTTAAGTGATGTGGTACAGAGTGCTCAGACATCTCGGAGGCAGTTCAGAAGGATTTGTGGTTTTATGCAATCTGCTGGCTGGCTGTAAGCATCCCTGAGATAAATTCTCCAGAGCAGCCTTTCAAGTATAACGTGTTCGTTGTTATCTGTTTCAAAAGATTTAGTCCAGTCCAAGTGTTCCTCAGTTATGCAAGGATATTTTCTGTTGCTGCTGCTTTTAGGACTAGCACATCTTATTCCCAGCTCTGGCACATGCTTGGACTGAGACTCTTCAGACCAAATGTGAGGCTAGCTTGTAAACAAGCTCTATGCTCTGACAGCACAGAGTCCCATTCCTTGCCATGGCCCCGCTGCCAGCAACTGCCCAAAAGTTCCTCAGTAACAAACTGGAAGGCCTTCTGATGGACAGGGGAAGCTGTCTACATGCTGCTCGCTTTCTCCTCTAAATAACATTCTCCTTAGGAGCTTCCCATTGAGACTCTATTATAGTGGGGAAGTAGCACCACTATACTTAAGGTGATTTTACAGCCTGCAGTTGGGCTTGCATCAAGCTAACTTCCCTGTACTTCAGTGGGAGCAGAGCTGAGCCAACACAATAAGCTTTTGAAAATTCCATCCTTAATTCATAGGGAAGTAACTTTGGGGTTTGTTTTTTTTTTTTAAAGATGACACTTTCGGCTTGTTCAAATTGAAGATATTTCTACCTGCTTTCATAACTGGCTTAAAGTTAGGATTTTGGCTGTGTGGGGAAAGAAAAGAAGGGACTTAAAATTTAACTCCTGTTGAATTTCAGTGGTATTTGGGCACCTGGCTCTGAAACCTCTTTGAAATCCCTAGCCTTAAAAACTTTACAACTGCGGAGTTAATAAAATCAGATGGGATTAAAATCACTGGATTTTTAGCTCTCGTAGGAAGGGTCTGGTTTATATTTGTGCAGTGCCTAGCACAATGGAACCTTTGGGGTCACTGGGCACTATAGCAATGGAAGTCCTCAGTAATGATCCTATTATCCATTCATCAATCTTACTATAGGTGCCACCCCCACCCCTCCTCCTCCAAAGATTCAGTACAAATGTAGCTGAAACGCTGATAAGTAACAGCAGAGAACCTGACCCAGGTCTGGCCCCTGTTTCAGGCAGCAAGATGCAGTAAATCTGCAAAGAGGCCAGCAAAAAAATCATTCTCCCCCAAACCAAACTTCAGTCTTCAAAAATCCCTCGGCTCCAACCAGCACAAGCCAGGACTCCAGAGAAGCCAAAGCAGCTTCTCCTTCAGGCAGAGCAAAGTGCTTCAGGCATCTAGTGCTGCTCGTCTGCCTTTGGAACATGGCTGCAGGAGGCAACATAAGATGTGCAGATAATCAGGCTATTGGAATGCTGCCCCTTCCTGGTACATAGAAGGGGAGCGAGTCCCAGAGATGAAGAATCTCCTTCTCCAGGCCTTCAAGAAGAATACCTTCAGGTATTCAAGAAAGGGGTTTCCCCTCTTCAAGGAACTGTCTCTCTAGAGTGTGTCTTCCTAAATCTGCCTTCACAGAAGAAACCTCCCTGGCATTTTGATACCAGCATTCCTTGCTGGAAGCTGGAGACAGGTGCTGGACTAACCCCAGTAACCAGAATGAGTCAGGGTTCAGGATGCACTAATGGATCACAAATTGGACCCCTCATTTTCACTCCAGTATTTTGATTTTTTTTTTTTAACTTTACCTCCCGCACAGGGAACTCACGAGTGTCTCAAAGGAAATGCAAAAGCCCTGTCCACTGTCACAGCCATAATTGATGGGACTGGATCTATAGGTGAGTAGGGTTGGCTGTACTAACCAAGGGGGGCAAACTATTCCAAGAACTCCATACAATAGCTGAAGAACCTAATTCAATCCCCAGCTCTCCTGGCCCCCAGTAGGGTCAATGTTCCTCTTGCCCCCAGGCATGAGCACCCTTTGCCCAAAGGGAACGCAGGCTGCCAGTGAGTTGGGAGTGGTCTGGGGCTAGCCCAGCTCACTTTCCTTTCAGAGAAGGGAAAGAGAGAGAGACTCTTTACTTCCCTATGCAGGGATGGTGATTGGGTCCTGTAAGCTTCAGCCACCCATTCTCGGGCAGGCAGAGAGATGGGAAGGGAGGGGATAAGACTCAGGGGACCTGTTGTGTTCCCGCAGCCCTCTCCCTGCCCCCCCGGGGGGGGTGGGAGCTAATGGTGCTGGTGCTGCAAGGAGCTTTTCATACTGCCAAGAAGAATCAAACTGCATTACACAGAGGGCCCCGGTGCTTAAATGGTCCTCGGTGCCCAACAAATAACCCTGCTGTGGAACTGAGCTAGGCAGTGAGGCACACCCAGGCTGGCACTAGAGGAAAGTTACTGCCGGCTACTCCAGCTCTGCCTGTCGTTGGAGCCAGGGGCATCCAGACACTCGCTTCCTTAGCAGGGCTGTGAGGCTACTGCTGGCCATGTGGAAACTGCTCAGAGGGGAGACCTGGAGCAAGTTCTTCCACTCTCTTCTGGCCCTTGAGAAGTGGGAGCTGGATCTGCAGGCCCAGCTGCAGCATCCGGCAAGTCTGGCCAGTGCATGATAGCAGGGGCGGTGGGAGAACACAAGGGGGCATAGCTAATAGCAGCGGCTGCCAAGGTGGAAGTGGGAGCAAGGCGAGAAACTGGCAGGGGGAGGAGATGACTGGGAGAGCAGGCAGAGGAGCTGGAGCCTGCACCTCTTGGCCCATGCAGCTGTGAGCATGCACCCTTCAAGCACTCACTCCAGCACGTCTGTTAGAACTGATGTGGGGGCTGGGTATGGGTTTTCTGCCCTGCATACGCCAGTGCCCAAAGGCTGGATGGTTCCTGGCTGCTAGTGATGTGCGTTGTTTGTCCTTTGCAGGTGCTGCTCTGGGCCCCCTGCTGGCAGGGCTGATCTCTCCCTCTGGCTGGAACAATGTCTTCTACATGTTAATAACAGCGGATATCTTGGCTTGCCTGGTGGGTTTCTCTTGAGCCTGCTGTGGCTTCTTGATGCAGATTAGGGGACTGGTGTGCAGCTGGGCCAGGGGTTGTCTGATTTCACAAGCTAAGTGTCTGGCATGGCCAGCATTTGGGTGGGTGGCCTCTAAGTAAAGGCCAGGAGCTGTAGCACATAGTACAGGTGCCTGAGTATTTGGTGCTCTTCTCTCCGAGGCAGCAATGAATTCGTGTCCCAGCATCCTGAGGGGTTAACATCGTGTCTGACAGACAGCACCCAAAGCATGCTTCTCAAGCATAGAGGGAGGAACTCCGGTGTTGTGACCAAATGCCAGTGGGGTTAATTGCATTTGTCTCCCAGAGTTACTCCTGGAGTGTCAGCTGGATACAGGAGTCTTCATTTCCTGCCCTAACTCTTGTGTAGTGCTGCTGGGCACATGTCAAACAGCAACTGGTGCCACTATCAAGGTGGCTCCATTTCAGTGCAGGGAGCATTTCCATCGCTAAGAACATGCTCTGGGAGCTTTCAAGATAAAAGACAAAAGCATGCATGGTGAAAGTGGTGGGCTCTGTATAAAGCCAGACATGATGAGCAGCCTCTTCCATCTACAGAGCTGCTTTTATGCACAGCAGGTTCTCTTAGCCATCGTGAAGTGGTTCCTAGATTTGTAACACAGCCTCGGCTCTGAACCGCTTCACTCTTCCTAATTCCTTTGCACTGCACTGGGGCATCGAAAGAAAATCTGCACTCTTTTCTCCCCCTTTTCCTCTGACGATCAGTGCTGCTGTTAACTGGCCAGTGGTCGCTGAAAGGGGCCAGGTGATCAGCTGTCAAGGCACTAGACTGGAAGTGGGGATACCTGGGTTCTATTCCTGGCTCTATCACTGACCTGTGTACAGCACCTAGCACCACCATGGGGTCCCAATCTTGGTTGGAATCTGTGCTCTTGCAGTATTCCTCCTCCACAGCCCCAACAACATCACTGCTCTGCCTTTTTGTTGGCTTTCCACTTCCATAAAGAGGTAACTGTGCTCACTGAGACTTGAATCCTGCACCTTTCCATGGACATCCTGATCTACATCAGGAGCTTTTCCACTCCTGTTTTGTCGGATTTTTGATTGCCTTTGTGCATGTTTTGCTTTGCAGGAACACGTTAGAAAACAAGACTTTGCAGGAATAGTCATGGAGATGGCAAATTATGTGAATGTTTCAGAGCAGTTGCAGAAAGTAAAGCCTGTATTTAACCAAGTGTTGTCATTAGAAACCTGATGTTAGGAATATGCTCATCCAATCACGGGATAGATATAGGCCCTGTGACCCCTTCGTCCCATCAGAATTTTGACTCTTGAATACTCATAATGAAAATGCTCTCAATCTACAAACAAAGAATTATTCCCTGAAACTGTGGTGAATTATTTATTCACATTTATAGACAATACATGGCCTGACAAACTAAATTCAAACTCAGTCATTCATCCAGTTTTGTTTGCCTACTTCTCATTCACTCCGGGGATGGGGCGGGTGGGGGGACTGTATCTTCAATACTTTGCCAGAGGCTAGAATCGTAAGTCAGATATTCATCTTGAGTGTCTTTTCCCTTCCAGTTCCTTTCCCGGGTGGTGTATAAAGAGATTAAAGGATGGTGTGGCTGCTACACAAGAAAAAGAGGGTATGTGCTTCTAAAATCCCAAGTTTTCGTGTATTTCTATGACTGTTCTCAGATCTCCTGTAGCACTGGCGGAGAAGCCCCCACTTCCAGCGGTGTGTCCTGGCCTGGCAAAATATGCAGGTATGGTACATGCTGAGTGCACATAGGAGTTTGAGATATAAAGTAGGTGCCATTGAAAAGGGAAACATACCGTACTTGAGTAATTTACCTCTACTGCTGCATTCCCTGCATTTAGAATGGGAAGCACCCTAAATGCTGCTGTAAATGTTTTGTCTTTGATGGAACCCCCTGCACAATGAATGCCTCCCCACCCCCTATCCTCTCGCCTAAGCATGTCCAAAGGGACATCTAGAACCTGGGCCACAGAAGTACCCAGGGAGAGTTATGACTGTTCTCATGACCCAAGAGTTCTACCCCCAGCCTGGCAGAACCCTATTAATGTGTTCTAAATGAGTTGTCCTTGTGTGTCTTCTTAGCTCGTCTGTGGCACTAACAAACGCAGTAGTGTTGGATGGGAAATAGTTTGTATTGTGAGTATCTCTGGTATTTTGCTGCCGCAGCTAATTCCATCTGCGATTTATGCTGATTTTTCTTTCTTGGCATTTGTGGGGTAAACATGAAGGTGTCTGTTCTGTGGCAAACTGAAGAAGAGCAGAGACCCAGGGCACAGTAGTCCTACATCAGTCTTGTGAGGGAGCAGCTTCCAAAGGAAGGATCCAATATGTCCACCAATAGTGTCCATCCCCAGTGCCTGACTGTGACAGCAAAACACGCTGTGCTCTGGGTCATATTGCAGAGTAGTGGGGCTAACTGACCAGAATACTGCTTGAAATGTCCAGACACACTGGTCTGGACACCAAATTTTTAGTCATAGAGTATAAGGCCAGAAAGGACCATCAGATCATCTTGTCTGACCACCAGCTAGTTTATTAAACTAACAAACTATTAGTGGCAAAGTACATAGCCCCACTGCTCCTGTAACCTTGCCAGTGAGTCTGATGATAAAAATATAAATGTAATGACGTACCAATCAAAGTAATTTCCAAGCCTGTGTAAAATGAAGGTAATAATCATGTGTCTGAATCAGTATTGTCATAAAAATACTCCTGTCCTGGAGTCAAAACAAATGGACAAGATTGTAGACTACATTTCTCAGAGGCCATCTTTGCTCTTTAACTGACAGTCCCAGGGCAGCTCATGATGGTGTAGGGCTGTGCTTTGCCATATGGGATAAGGTGTGTTCCCGCCATGCTCTCAGGAGCCTGGTACGCTACATCTTGATTTCGTTTACAGGTAAACAGGTTTTTTGGTAGTCATGTTCTGGGTTCTTGTGTTACAGTAAGTCTGGCCCATGTCTCCTCCTCAGTCCTGGTGCAGGGTAACAAGACTCCTGCTTTCATGTTTCGGCTACCTTGTCACAAAGGGCTGAGTTCTAGCTTCTCCAACCTGCACAAGCTCCCTTTGGAGTGACGTGTGCCCATCCGCCGGCAGAAATGGGCCCCAGGGAGAATGTGCTGTGAGCAGCTCTGGCTTTGGGAATGTGCCACTCTTCACTTGCTGGGCCAATCAAAGGGTGGCAAACCTGCTTCCTTTACGTTGGTCAGTCAGGGTGATGCTTCAGTCTCTGTTTAGAGCCCTTTGGTGTCTGAGGCTCCAGTCTCATCCCTTGGGAAGAGAATATGGTGGGCTCAGCCAGCTAATGACAGCTGGACCTCAATTTATATCTGGCTGGTTCTGCCTTCTTCACCTCAGTCACCTCAGTAGCAGCCTGGAAAAGTAGGGCTGTAGCCAGGGTGCCTCTTGTTGCATTTCATGAGACAAGGTTCCCTTTCTTCAGGGCTTGGGAGCCTGGCACAGCTGGGAGAACTGGGCCAGAAGGCTGTGGGTTTGAGTCTCTGCAGTGTGATTCTGGCTCATCCTCAGTGATAGCTGTGCAGAAGCAAAGAGAGAAGGGAATGCTGCAGTGGAAGAGCTGCGACATTCAGCTAAGATGAAGGCCAGATCCCCACAGGGACGTGGGCATTGCAACACCTAACTTTTAGGCATCTAGAAATCCCTGGAATAAAAACAGGATCCACAAAGCCTGAGTTAGGTGCTAGTTTCCCTGTGCAATGAATTGGGGGGCAGGTGCCTAAGAATGGGACCAACAAAAGCCAGCCTCTTCTCCTGTGGATCTGACCTGACAGTAACATCCCATCTGCCAGCTTTTGGTGGCTGGGCTAGGAAGTTGGGCATTTCCCAACAGTCAGTTCTGTCCCCAAATTCCCTCTTGGAGTAAGGGGTTCTAATGTCTAAAGCTGAGGCCCAAGTGGTCACTGGGGGCTGCCTCACTGTCTGCATAGTCACTGCAGTGCTGGTGTCTCCTTACGTTGGGGACCCCCAGCCTCTGGAAGGTGCTGCAGCCATCCCAGCCCCTGGGTGGTCCTTGCGTGTCCCTCTTGGGTTGTTTCTCAGACTCTCACCATTTAGTTCCCCACTGAAATCAAATTAACAGCTGTGAGCTGTTGTCTGCTCTCCGGGCCACCCACTAGGCTCTTGTGTTAGCAGGAACCAAAATGGTGGTGATATCTCTGCTGCCTTCTCTCCCTGCTTGCTCCTGTTTCTCCTTTGGCTCTTTCCCTCACATAAGGACTCCGTGGCTCTAAAACTCAGCAGGTGAGGTGAGCTGGGTGAGGGCCATGCAAAGGGGCAGGATGTAGGTACTAGTGACTTGGCTTTGGATTCTGGCACCGCTGCAGTTATTGAACAATCTCCATCAGAGCAAAGTTCCATCTGTCCCTGACTGTATCTGAGCACCTGGGAAGCGGTGGCTATTAAGGCTTAAAAGGGCTTCGGAAGCTTATTGGATGTAATTAAACTCATGAAAATAAACTCTTCCTTGGCAGGCGCCTGCCTGATCACACTCCATGGGCTGTGCTCTAATCATGGTTCTTGTTCTCACAGATTTAAAGAATTTTGACCTGACTCCCTGTGACCAGAGACAGCGGAGTGCAGCAGTGACGGGCTTTGCTGGCAGAACCCACCTTTTAGTGCTCTCCGTTTAAAGTGGGAGGAATTTTATGGAGGCAAAATGAACTGGTGAGATGAGTAGTTCTCTAAAACCCAACCACCATGGACTCTAATCATTGGCAGCAGCTTTAACCAGGGCGAAGGTGTGGAGAAGATGGTGTATTCTGGGCCAGGACTGTTTTGTGAGGCATAACTGGGGCCTCTGTCTCTTACCCGCTGCCCCTGCTCCTCTTCCATTATTTCTTTTATTATTAAAAGGGTGCTAAACCTGTGTTGTAGTGGAGTTTCTCTTTGTCCTGGGAGTGGAGGGAAATGTTCCCAAGGTCGCTGGGCTCAAGGAGCTGCAGAGACTGGCATCCTTCTGTGCGATGTGCTAGAGCTTCTGGCCCTTGCCTTGTCAAGATCAGCAGTTCCATCTCGGCACCAGGTGATTCTCAAATGATTGACAGTCCTCAGGTTTGAACCCCACTTCTGGCTTTTCAGATGCCTCTATCGTCATTTGTTTGTAACATTGATTAACCTGCTCAGCAACTGAGCCGAAAACTTGCCAGTTCCTGTGGCTGGATTCTCTCTCATTCTGGAGTTTAAAACAGTAGGTACTAATAAATGGATAGTGATTAGCTATCAAATAGGTATTGCAAGCAAGAATTTTATTTTGGGGAACAAGACAAAGGGTTGTCTCAATGCTCTTGGCTCTCCATAATACAAAGTTGTGCTCGACAGTAGAACACTGCCATTTGGCCTGGGAAAAAAAGACATGTTAGTTTAGTCCAGGAATCCCATTTCTAGATTTGCTGATAAACACAAACTAAGGTTTATTATGTGCTTTGCTGTTTCCAGAACCACTCTTTACACTGGAGGGAAGCAGCATCTTTCATAATGGTACCGGTTTATAATTTTAAAACACTGTATGATGGTTTGTAGTTCAGAAACTTTGTGTGAGATTATAAACTCACCCAGCCTCTGTGCAAAGTGAACTATATTCCTATCATTTGAAATGTCTTAATCTGCAACTGCAGGCCCCTGACAGTTGTTTTAAGAGTAACTTCGACAATTTTTGTAAGGACACTCTGTCTGGGTTCTTACACCACGCTTATCGCTGCTCTATTCAAGTGCCAAACATCCCTGTGAGCTGTACTGTGACGGGGAGGGGGAAAAGTTAATCTCTCCTACAGCCTCTGTATGTCCAGAAGCAGCTGACTAATGTATTCCTCCTCTTTCTTAAAGTGTCTTTAGGAGCATAGGTGTAGATTGGGGGATCAATTCTACCCAGGCCAACAGGGCCGTGCATGGGGAGTAAATTCCGCACCTGCCCGGGGCTTGCAGTTTGAGTGCAATACTCCCATGTCCCGCCAAACTACGCCCATGTCTAGGGATCATTGTGCTAGAAAGAGAGATGCAATGGGAAGAGGAGAATGGTGGTGGGGGAAGGAAGAGCCCCATTTAAATCCAAAATGCCAGTCTGTGCCAGCTAAGTACAGGGCTTCTGTATCTTAACAATTTAACACCCATCTAATTCTCAGCCTTCCAAAAAAGAATGAAAAACTGGTAAATTGCCTTCATGACCAATAATAGGCCTATCAAATCGTCTATTTATCAATCCACCCATCTCCATCATCTCCAGTAGTGCTGGGTGCATCACTCGCTCCGAAGAGACAGATCGTTGCTGCCAATGTCTTAGTCTAACCAGCTGGGCGTAACATTCGTTCTTAATGAGTAAGGCAGAGCAGGACAAGCTGCTTATTGGTTCTGATTCTTCCCCCTGCCTCACCCTAGTAGTTTTATAAGAGCAAAGCGGCTGCATTTCGGTGGCGACAGTTCTCCGGTGGCCGCACTCATTGGTGGCATTTTGGCGGTAGGTTCTCCGGCGGATGCGCTCCTCTCCTCTTCGTTCCTTGGCGCTAGCCCTGACAGCAGGTGCACATAAACGTCCCAGCAGGTGCCCTGGCGCCCGTGGGCACCGCATTAGGGACCATTGGTGTAAAGAAAAGGGATGCAGTCCTCTCCAAAAGTCCTCAGTGCTGCTCCAGGAGAATTTGTCTCTCAAAAGGCCATCCGCTTATAAGCAGATACGTCTCTACTGCTGTGCTGGGAAAGCAAGAGAGGCTCCTGTTAGGTACATCTACACTGTAAAGAACAATCCGCAGCATAGAGTCTCAGGCCCTGGGTTTGTAGGGTTAAAAATAAGAGTGCAGCCGTTCCCGTTCTGGCGCCGAAACCTGGCCAGGGAAGAGGGTCTTTGTAGCTCAGGCTCCAACTGAGCTGGTACCACCTACACTGCTGTTTTAGCCCCACAGTCCGAGCTTCGTGAACCCAAGTCAATTGACCCAGGCTCTGGGACTCTGTCCGGGGGGTTTTCTTTGCAATGTAGACACACACTTAGTATAGCAAAAGGGAACTGAACATAAATCACAGTGCAAACATGGAACTGCCTTCAGCAGAAGACCTAGCTGAGCATACTGGGAAAAGATGGAACTTTATTATCTGGCAGTCGCCTCCCCCTGTGTCAGGGTTAGATCCGCAAAGGGACTTTGCTGCTTAATGAGGCAGCGGGGAACCCTGGCACCAACCTAACCTCTGCTCAGCTGCTGCCAGCCCCTGGAGGCACTTATGTTTCTGCTGGGGGAGCATGCACAAAACTGCTCAAATTTTGATGCCACTGAGCTACTTAGTTCCCAGTTCAGGCCTAAGCCCTGGTGGGATTCTCAGAATAGGCGTTCCCCTGCCTATCCCAGCTGTAGGGTCCAATCTTTGAAGCGTCGTCAGCACTTCTGACCTACACAGAACCTGGGGCTCTGTGTCCGTCTGTGCAATTATACCCACTAACCCTATGGTCAGGCCACTCATCTGGACTGTGGGAGACCCAAATCCCTGCTCTACCTGATAGAGATCAGGGACTGGAACGCAGGTCTCCCATATTGCAGAAGTGCTCCAACCACTGGGCTACAGAATATTCTGGGGTGGGGTCTCTCAACTCTGCAAATGATCCTCACGTTCAGAGATCGACCTGGACTCCTCAGCACTGCTCAGGGGCTGACGATCGCTGCTGGCAGGCGTCCTCTTCCTGCAGGAGTCAGGCTACTTTTGGTGCCAGGATCTCCCCGCTCCACAAAGGGGTGCAGGGCTCAGGTGCAGATTATAATAACTCTGCTAAAAACACAACTCCTGATCTCCTGCCCCAGCGCTCAGCCATGCTCCCAGCAGGCGGGCAGCCCTGAGCGAGCACCAGAGCAGCACTGGCCACGTGGGGCCTGGTCTGTCTAGGAGCTGAAAGGCTCACGCCGCCCAGCTGGGGAGAGAATTTTCTCACAAAACTCTGTGTGCTGAGCACTCTCCTGAGGAGTGAAAGCACCAAGCTGAGGGATGTTGCTGCCAGGCATCTGGAGGCCAGTTGTCAGGGGAACCCTGCATGCAGGCCTGCGGCTCACCAGCTCCCCCATACCAGTCCTGCCCCTTCAGTGGCTGGCTCCAGCTCCTCCAAAATGGCTTCTCCCCTCTCCCAGCGCTCCCACATCCTGCTGGTCACCCTAGCTCTTCTTCCGGGGTTCTGACTGGTCAGTCATGTGACTCTACTCCCCACCACCCCCAGACATGGCCCCTCCTCTGAGCAGGCAGCTGGTGGCCATCCAGGCACGCTGCCGTCCTTCCCCGGAGCTCCAGGGGCCATCGCTCGAAATCGTGGCTCTCCTCGCTCCCTCGGGGCTGCTCACAGTCTCTGAATCTGCCCTTGGTCCCCCTTCCTCCCGGGACAGCATGCGTCTTCCTGTGCCAGCAGTACACAGAGCCAGGGGCCAAGCTGAGCTTCCCGGGGGTTACTGATCTATAATTGATACCAATTGGACCAGGGACTCCCAGCATCCCAGGCAAGTGCCCTAACCACTGGGCAACTGCACCCTTCTCTGTCTGGCCACATCAGTACTGAATTGTACACAGTGGGACAGTGTCAAGCCCCTCAAATCTGCTGGAAACCAGACTGGTTTCTGAGGGAAAGCAGAGTGGGGAGCTGCCTAAACTAGCCAACAGGAAATGCCAAAGTGAGGGGTGATTTAGGCACCTCAAAGGGAGTTAGGCACCTCCCTCTGCCTGGGATTCACAGCTGTGAACCCACTGCTCCTTCAGTTAGGAGCCTAAGTCAGGTCAGAAAACTAGACCATGTCCCCCGTTCAGCCCATAGCCTGGCGGTCAGGACGCTCACCTGGGCTTTGAATTTTCAGCTCCTCACTCGGCCTGATGTGGAGCAGGACCTTGGGTCTCCCATATCCCCGCAGAGTGCCCTGCTCAGCAGGCAATCGCTCCCCCTCCCTAGCCCATGGTGTATTTATACAAAGTGGAACCGCTTCAACAAGAGCCCCCTCTCCCCCCCGCAGGGCACTCAGCCTGGGATATGGGGGACCCAAGCTCATGTCCCTGCTCCACATCATGCAGAGCAGGGATTCAAACCTGGGTTTCCTGGCCCACCCTGACCCTGGGCTGCTAGGTACTGTGGGCCCTGGAGACCTATATTCCTGACTGTGTTTTGTGCAGTGCCAATGCGGTAAACATTGTTACCTCAAGGGGAATAAGGCAACACTTCAGAAAGGAAAACTTAGGAATGGTAGAGGGGAGATAAAAGGAAAGCCCCTTTTCTCAGAAGGACAGACTCGACTCCCTTCCGTATCTGTCGCCGGTGGATTTAGCTTACAATAAGGGTGTCCCTCCCTCCCTGTGTGATCTAATAAAAATGAAGAAAAGACAAGGTAATATGGTGCAAACAAAGGTAAGTGGGTAAAGGTACAGAAACCTGGGGAAACAGGGAGGGGGAAGAAACACAAACTTAACTGTACAGTGATTCAGTGACTGGCTCTAGGAGCTTGAAACTCAGACCCACGAAACCTTCCTTGGCCTTCAGAAAAACAATAAATGAAACCCCAGTACCGAAACCTTTCCTGCAATTTAGGTGCAGTGGGCTCTATGCACGGACACGAGGCCCAGGACCTTCTCCTCTCCGGCTAATTGGAAGCCTTTGAGGAGGACCGCTCGGGGGGTCCTGACGACTGCCGGATTTCGTCACAGGCGGGGAGACCCTCTGGGATGATGGACATCAGGAAAGCAGGACCCTCCACAGGTAAAATGGATTCGGTTCGCTGTGGCAGGGATAGTGATGACAGGCCTCTGCTTTCTCAACCTTGCTGCGGGCTAGATGGTACTCTTCTCTCGAGCTTTGGAGAGCTGGGCAGAGCCGACCGTGCGCACGCTACCGCTGGAACGGGCAGCACCGTGCGGGCACTGAGC